CAGGTCACCAGGTCACGTCAAGTGACCTTACCTCAGAAAAAGTTCAAAGGCTCGCTATAGCTACACCGACTGAACGATCACTTTGAAACTTTCAGCGATTGATATGAGTAACAGTATGTATAAAATGTATATCTCGGATTTTTGATATCTGTGACCTAAGGTCAGGTCAATTTTGCGACCTCTCCATTATAAGTCAATGGGAGAAAATTGAAATGCGCCTCTTTTGGACGAATATCGTTCAAAACGCTCTCAAACATCGGTTCATAGGTAAACATGACACACTGAATAGGAAAAATGCACCTGTGACCCCTCTGTGTGCCCCTGAGGTCATCTCAGGTCATGAACGGTCGCCAGCAGTTTTTTGGCTATAACTTTTGATAGAGACGTGCTAGAGCGGTGAAAACACGTCAGATGTGTTCAGCTCGACGATACGGATCGACTGATATGCAACATGACCCTTTTCGGTCAGGTCATGACCTTGACCTGAGGTCAAATTTTCAAAATGACCTTTCAAGGTCAACAAATAGTTCATTCGACGCGTCTCGACGAGAGGAACACGATGCTGGCAAAAGTAATGTCATGGCGCTTATGAGTCAAAAGTTATTGACGAAAAAACGTTTTTCGTAAAAACGGCTATTTTTGGAGTTTTTGCCCTCTGGAGGCTAAACCGTTGACCTGAGGTCAAATCTGAGAACATTACTCAGAAAGGTCTGTAAAAGGGCTATCGAATGCGCTTTTCCGCGGCGCTGTAGCTCTATCGGTTCCCGAGATAGCCATTGGCAGTTTCCAAAATGTTGAAATAGTCAACATTTTACCTTTGGTGACCTCTGGTGACCTGACCTTTGACCTGACCCAAAAAATGACCGAAGTGTTTTCGTCCTTATTTTTGACGCTCTTTCGATTGCCGCTTACCGCGTGTCGCTACGTGGCCCAGGAGCCGAGTTAGACGGGGGGGCGTGAAAACGCCCCCCCCCCCCAGCACTCGGCGGAAAGTTCAGGCCACCAGCACGGCGCGGGTTAAGGTACCAATACCATAATACAAAATCTGAGCTGTCAAAATATGATATAAATTGCATTTTTCCGAGCATTTTTTTCCTTTTTCTGTGTTTCTGCCAGATGTTGGTTGTGAAAGAAAAGTCTGGAGTATTGTTAAGGCTTTTTGGGATGCTCACAAACACTTGCATGCAATATTTGCATTGAAAGATGTTTGTGAGATCAGCATGCTGGATGTGTTTTTTGTATTTTTGTCTGCTCTGTGCGGGAGCTCGTTTTATGTTGATAAAATGTAATGGCACTGAACAAATATAAAAATAGGCACCTGTTCTTTCTGTAGTATTCGCCATTCAATACTGTTTTGTGTGTAACAGTTATTCCTAGGAGATCTGTCACAATAGTGAGTTTTCTTCTCTGCCAGTTCAATGAACCAGGTAGATGTGTCCACTCCAACCAGTGCAGATCCACCTTTGTGTACACATTTCAGCATGATGAGCGGACCTTTGGTGGCTGTTCCACCAACCCGCCTTTAGATGGCGCGCGCGTCTCCCAGCAGAGGCGACATCTACTGTCGGCTCAGCCGGTTTGGAGGGTGTACCAAGTGTCATTACCAATATACCTATAAACACGCCATTGCAGTGGCCTCACTCGAGGTGGGCTGGACCCAAGACGATGGATGACTTCGGTTAAAACGATGACGCGGGTCGTGGGCCCAGCAACACAACAGGTGGCGTTCAAAATTAAAGGTAGACTGCCACCTTTTTTCCACAAAACGGTTTTCACTAGAGCTGAGCCACCTATGTCCCAGACTGAAGTCTGTTTTCCGAAATTCGAACCCGTTTGCGAGAAATCGGAGACCAAAGTTCAGTTTGATGCCATTTTTTTTAGTCCAAGAAAACCGACATCTCTACTGTTTATCGATAACTTTGAAACATGAATTTTCTTATCTTTTGGTAAATATATGTCAAAACTTTGATTGTTTCGAGATCAGAGAAGAATTTTGGAGTGTCAAAATAAAAGTTAAACTTATATATTCAGTAGTTCATTTTTTCCAAAAAAGTGTGGGAAATGGGGTTTAACATGGGCCAGACCCATTCCAAATGAGCCATGATTTTCTTAATGTTTTACGAACTTAAATGCAAAATAAATTAAACATGGCCAATTTCTCATGAAATCATATATTAGTAAATCATAAAATACCTTACTTTTTCAAATAAAATGTAATAATCTTATGACCTTGAAGTCTAGTGATGTGTAAACATTGTCGCTAGACATTAACCGATTGATAATTGTATGAAAATCGACAATTTTTTTCGCGATTCACGTGATGATACTTTGTCAGGTGAATTCTAAAATTTTGTTTTGTCCAGGGAATAAATCATAGGCCGATCTGAGAAAACTTTTTGAAGGTGGCAGTCTTCCTTTAACAAATTCCCTATGTTTTCAGTCGGGTCGGAGATGTGGATCTCATTCAAGCGGTACACAACAAGCCAGTTTCATGAAACACGAGTCTTCTGGACGATGAGGCACCACCTGAACCGCAAACGGCCGGCGCACCAGCTCTGTCCCCGGGGCCGGCGCCCCGGCAAGCAGCACCAGCTCCAAGGCCAGCGCTCGGGCCAGCCCCGTCTCCGGAGCGGTCGGTGCCGGCATCACCAGTACGACAAGGAGCAGCCGTGCCCATGTCGAAACCCTCGCAGCACTTCAAAGTGTACAACAGGTGGCTAAACCGTTGAACGATGCCGACCTGGCTTTCGGTCAGTGGGTAGAACTCAAACTGAAAAAGCGGTTCAAAAAAAGCCATCGCTCCCGGAACTTCCGCTCACTGGCGCGCAACGTCTCCGCCGTCGGCTCCGGCAGGAACACTGAACCGTGGACGTTCACGATCGCGCGACAGATGTCGTACACGCGCGTGGTCGACTTCGCGAGCCGGTAGCTCGGCGCCAGAACGGAAAATTCACCCCCCCCCCCCCCGACACCAGATAGTGGAGTGTCATCGCCAGCCGCAGTGGTGCGCTCACCGGCTGGAGGAAGGTGGTGGTTGAGCGGGACCGGGTGGTCTGGTCCTCGATCCGTGCTAGGAGGAGGTTGAAGGCTCCCTAGCTCAGTCGGAAATACTGAAGGTGTCGATGGGGGTCGTTGAGCCGAAGCTCCTGCTCTCGGTTGGCGTGCTCGCCCAGCTCGTCGCGGCGCTGCAGCACGTCGCTGACCCCATGCGTCGGACCAAGGGTCTGCGTCTCTCCTGCACCCTCTGGAGTGCCAGCTTGAGGTGCAGTATCGCGATGGCTGTTATAGTTTAAGTGTGTGCGGGTTGTTTTGTGGCTCAGTATGCAGATAACTAAATCTTTTGGTCCCAGAGCATCAAGACAATGCACTTAAATGTTGCTCAGTTTGGTTAATCGCTTGCGATATGCTCAAACCATTTAGACCTCAATAGTCGGTGTACTTTGCTCAATGTTTGTTTTTAACCACGGTATATTGAGTGAAGGGTAGGACGAACTTTGGTAGGAATTTCTAGTATAACTACTAGAAAACTTACTATATGTGGTCGGGACTAGCAAAAAGTTAGTTCAAACTAGAATATGGTAGCGCTTATGGTTGGCAGTCGTGACGCGCACGTGACATTCATTTCTTAAATAACAGGTTTTAGGGGCCGATTAGTGGGCAGATACATTCAATTAACTATTAATAATTGATTATGCAAACATTCAAGAATCTACATCATTCAATTCTAGCCAAAATCACGCGGCGCTTCCAGGATTCGAACTCACGACCCTCGGATCCGTAGCCCGATACGCTACCGACTGCGCTACCGAGGACCGCGCGCCGACGATCGGAGAGGCGCATCGCGGGTGCTGGCGTGCAGATAAATTTTTACCCTGTACGCCGTAGAAGATCGGCTGGGTTTCGTGAAAAATGGTAGAGGAATTGTCGAAAGAAAATTCATCGATCTATCATTTGAGACTAAGAACCATTGATTCCTTCAAAGGTTGACCGAGATATCGCTCGCCGAAAACAGGCCATTTAAAGGTAGTGTGCCAGCTTTCCTGGACCGTATGGAGTTAATGGCCCAGATAAGGTGAACAGGATTTTTAGAACTTATCCATACCTTCAAAACTCATGGAAACGTCTTAAATTCTTCAAATTTTGAGTACCCCAGTGCGAAATTCGCCCCGACGGGTTGTCGGTCGTTAAATCTTAAGTACATCCATTTTCAAATCATGGTAACTTTTAGTCGACATACGATTATGAAAGGTCTCCAGTAGTTTTAAGACAATGACTTTTGATAGAGATATGGCAGAGCAATGAAACACCTTATATAATTATTTTCCTTCTCGACAATGCGGATCGACTAATATGCAATATGACCTTTCCCGGTTAGGTGATGACCTTTACCTTAGGTCAAATTCTCAAAATGCCCTTTTAATGTCAAATTCTGGTTCATTTCACTCGTCTCTAAAAATGGAACACGATACCGGTTCAATTAATCTCGTGCGGGTCTGAGCCAAAGGGTATTGCAGATAAACGTCCTTCACAAAAGTAAAAATAATTAACTAGCGTCAGTGGTTTCAGGGCTGGGGGAGCGCTATCGATCTTGAATGGGGCGGGCGACTGAAGTCTCCATTCAGATGGGCGTCAGTGACTACTGGAGGGCGCCAACGACCTCGGATAGGGCGAGTGTAATCTTCAAAAGGGCACCGGGTGCTCTAGAGGGGTGCAATGCTTGGAATGGGGTCACTGCTGCCTTCCGTAGGGCGTCGGACGCTCTGGAGGGGCGCCATTGATCTCGGATGTTCCGACTGTTATTTTCAGAGGGGCACCAGTGGTTTCAGAGGGGCGCCATTGATCTAGGATGGGCCGACTGAAGTCACGGTTCAGGTGGGCGCCCCCCCCCCCCTCCAGTGGGGGAGGCGCTGCTGGAATACACTAACAGCTCCCCCGCTAGGAAAATATAGCCGCCTGTTTTCATATGTCACTCAGACCCCGACAGCCAGTGGGAGACTAACCTCGGGTGCGCTGTTTGCGCTCCTGCTGCAGCCGTCTGTGCTCGGCCACCGCCAGCGGGTCAGCGCTGGGCTCGCAGTCGGCCCACAGCGGGTCAGCGCTGGGCTCGCAGTCGGCCCACAGCGGGTCAGCGCTGGGCTCGCAGTCGGCCGACAGCGCCTGGAAGCTGTTGTGGTCGGGGAGCGCGTGGTCCGAGATGAGGTCGCACGGGCGCGCCGTGGCTGTGGTGCCCAGCTCGGTGAACAGGCTGGTCGGAGGCGGAGTGCTCTGCTGCTGGCGCCGCAGCGACTGGGCACAGAGACGGACCGCTGTCAGAGCCCAGCCATACCCGGCTTCACCCGCGCCCCGCTGCACTGGGGGTGGGGGCAGAATCGGCCCCATCTCCCATTTTTCGGCAATAACGTCAAAACGCGTGAAGCCAGCGACGTCAAATTTTGAATTCCTTTTACAACATCAATTTAGTATCTTCCCTGAAAGTTTGAGCGAAACTTGTCGGATGTTTTTTTTTGCGAAAATGACGTTTTGGTGACGTCATGTTTTACGCCATTTTCACTTCAAAAACAGCAAGACTTCAAAGTTCCTCTAACGCCATCAGTTTTAAAGGAATCAGCACGTAACAAAAACATATATTTACAGTAGGTCTACTTAACGGTAGACTGCCACCTTTGGGACACAAAACGGTTTTCACAAGGCTAACCCCACCCCAACACCACTGTCTAGTCCATTTTTCTCAATTCAGTCCCGGTAGCCTGAAATCAATCACCAAAGTTACATTTGTTGACATCTTTTCGCTACCCGAGAGAGACCATCACTATTGTTTATCGTCAATACGGTTAATAAGTTTAGCTACATTATTGCAATATTGATACATATTGCAATATTGCAATTATGCAGGGCACACCCGGTTTACGTGCTGGGTGATCTGAATTGGGACGTGCTCCATCCCAGCAAACCTGGTGTTCAGCAATACCTGGACCTGCTTCACGACCTCTCGCTGAGCCAGCTAATAACGACGCCGACGCGAAGTGCTCCGAACGCGCCACCGTCGCTCCTTGACCACCTAATCACAAGCCACCCGGAACAGTGTGACTCGACCAGGGTCGTCACGAGTCACATCAGTGATCACGACCTGATCATCACCCGAGTGACGGGAACACGCATCCGACGCGCGCCGAGGAGCATCACCGTGAGGTCTACGAGACATCTCAACAAGGATCATCTCTGCCTTGACCTTTTGACGGCCGACTGGTCGTCAATCTACGAAGCTATGACACCATCCGAAAAATACGACGCGTGGCTGACAGTGTGGGACAGTGTCATTAACCAGCATATGCCATTCACTCAAATCAAGGTCCGTAATTCGCCCTGTCCCTGGGTGAGCCATGGTGACGAGGACCTGAGGCAGCTGATGAGTGACAGAGACAGCGCCCGTGCTGAGAAGGACAGAAATCCATCTCCCAGCACCTGGCACGCGTATCGTGGCCTGCGGAATGCTGTCAAGGGCCGGTTAGCCACCGCCAGAACAGCTCACTTCAGAGATACATTCAAGAACTCAAAAACCACACACTGGAAAGACATTCGCAAGTACATCGTGTCTGCCACAAAGCGGGAGCCCCAGCCGGACTCCGACAGGTCAGCTGATGTCACGTGGGCGGACCGACTAAATCGCTATTTTGCGTGCGTCGGACCAGACACAGCCGCGGCGCTGAACGCGGCCGCTGACGCGGGTGAGACGGTACCGCCCCGACCTCCGAGGGTGTGCGCCGGCTCATTCCGTGTCAAACCGGCGACTCTGCCCGAGCTGTCGGCTGCGCTGAGCCAGCTGGGTTCGTCGAGGGCGTGTGGCGAGGATGGTGTCACTGTGCAGTTGATCCGATTGACCTTCCCTGTGATCGCGCCACATTTGCTGTATATTGTGAACGACTCGCTTGTGTCCGGCACGGTGCCGACAGCGTGGAAATCTGCCGTCATTACTCCACTTTTCAAAGGTGGTGACCGTTCTGAGCCAAATAATTTTAGGCCAATTTCGATTTTGTCCGTTGTAGGTAAACTCTGTGAGCGTGTAGTTGGAAATCAGTTAATGTCATATTTAAGCGAACATCATATACTTTGCGCTGAACAGCATGGCTTCCGCCCGGGCCACTCCACGGAGTCGGCGATGCTGTGCGCTGTTGACAGGCTTGTCAGCAGCATGGACCGTGGCCTCGTCTCCACGTTGACGACGACAGACACGTCCAAAGCGTTTGACAGCGTACAGCATTGCCGGCTCCTGGAAAAGCTCGGATGGTATGGTGTGGATGACCATTGGTTCCGCGGTTGGCTCGAAGGCCGAACGCAGCGTGTGGCGGGGTGTACAACGCCAGTGGCGGTGACACATGGCGTGATCCAAGGGAGTACTTTGGGACCGATCTTGTTTTTACTATTTACCAACGATTTACCTTCTTTTATTCGCCACGGACAGCTCATCATGTATGCCGACGACGCGCAGTTTATCGATGCGGATGCTCCGGCCAACGTGGGTGACCTCCGTACTAGAGTAGAGAACACGCTCAAAATTGTTTTGAATTGGTTTACTCAAAATCGTTTAAAAATTAATCCCTCAAAAACAGATCTTTTGGTCGTGAAGTCTAAGCGAATTCACTTAGAAATCAACGAAACATTTAAAATTCATTTTGGGGAACAGCTCATCAGTCCTTCTCCTTCTGTGAAGGTTCTTGGCATAACTTTGGACTCTTATCTCAATTGGGACCTCCAGATATCTGCCGTCATCAGGCGCTGTTATGGCATGTTGGTGGGACTTGCAAAGCTGAGCCACCGACTACCACACGAGACCAAAAAAGTTATCATCGAAGGGCTTGTTTATCCCCACATCACTTAGGTACTGTCTGACCGTTTGGGGCGGCTGCACCAAAACCCAAAAGTATAGGATCCAGAAAGTTCTAAATTTTGGTGCCAGGATCATCACCGGACTAAAGAGGTCTCAGCATATTACTCCCGCTTTAAAAGAACTGGGATGGCTCAAAATTGATGAGCTGATTACTAAATGTGACTTGGCGGCACTTTGTCGGATTCTGGGGTCACCTGAGTCGCCTGAGCATCTCCGCACGATGATTGTGTCCCGTTCAGATGTATCAGAAAGGACCACGCGGGGATCGGAGAGTATGCTGCTGCAAATGCCACGCGTGCGCACAGAACTCGCTCGCCGTGCATTTATGTGCCGGGCTACCACCGCCTGGAACCGACTGCCAGCCGAGCTCAGGAGGAGTCGTTTACTGTGTCACCCACGGAGGTGAATCGCGAGACATGGGGAGTAGATGTGCTCAGTTTTATCGCATTTTAGCAATTTATAGTGATTTTTAAACCATCATTTTTTCGTGTTTTATGAACATGTTCACTGTGTTTAACTAATGTACTGACTCTGAAATCGGAAGAGCCACGATGTGGAGATTTTTATGAATACAATACATACATACATTGAGATGACCCAATATTGCCATTGACCATTGGGACTGATTCGGTAAGGTAACAAAAAAAAAAAGCTTTTGTGCTGCCCGATTTTATAATTTTGAATAAAGTTTTATTAAAGGTTTTACCATTTTCTACCTGAAAGTTACCGTATTTACCGGATCTCTTAAGCATTGTGAAGGGATTCCCTTTCTGCTAATTATTTTACTTGCTTACCAGTATTTATTAGTATTTACTTATTAGTTTTAGTTTATTATTATTAGTTTAGGTTAGTTTATTATTATTAGTATTATTATTACTTATTAGTTTTTTATTAGTATTATTAGTATTTACTTATACAGTACTTACTAGTATTTACGATACTGATGATTATAGTATGCCATTTAGGTTTTATTTGTACGAAAGTGCCCGGTTGAAAAGAAAAATATTTGTTTACTTGCAGCAACGCAATTAAAGAAACAATTATATTTGCGAAGGCAGAGCGTAGGGGCGTAACTTTATATCTATCCCTATGCTAAACTGACCCCCCCCCCCCTGGGAAGCTTAGAGCCCCCCCCCCCATTTCTAATTTTCAATTTTTGACAAAACACACAAATAGAAAAACACTTAGGTACATGCTATTTTCCCCATTTTCCATCATATAGGTACAGTCCACAGCAGAAATAATGTGGGGTTTCAGTCATGGGTATGTTCTGCTTCTGAAACTTAGGAACGATTAGCCAAGCTACAATGAAACTTTGAATGTAGCTTATATGTAGGGGAAGTTGGGGCAATGCCGGAGTTGGGGCAAAGCCGAAATTCGAGATATTTCGAAAACCGTAAGACATGGATGCCACCTGTCAGTGATGCTCTGAAGCTTAACCCGGCAGTTGCTGGGGTATTTCGCCACCCACCGTTTGCTGGGGGGGGGCGTTAAACGCCCCCAGCCGATAACTCGAGAACCAATAGGCGCAGCGAAACGCACGAGGCGGCAAACGAAAGAGCGCGACGAGACGCTTCAGATGAGTACTTTAAAGTTGAATTTTGAGGTCACAGGTCGGGTCAAGGTCAGGTCAAACACCTGAAATCGGGCTTTCAGTAGCATGGACTTCTGGACTTCGCAATGGGCGCCTCTCGTCATAAACTCTGTTAAAACGGTGCACAATTCATCATATAAGGCCTACAAGAGTGTCAGCTCCATGTAGGGGTCAGTCAAGCATAGGTCAGGGTCAAGGTCAGGTCAACCGGGTACGCACATATCCCCGAAAATCAAAACTGATATTCGCAGCCTGTGACACATGTTTTATAGGTAATTTGGGGCGTAGAACACGATGGTGACATTCATTTTATCATATGTGTACGTGTTTGGCTCAAAAAGTTCAATTAAAGAAATGCATATATCATGGTCGTGAAGAAGTCACGAAAAATTGCCAAGATTCAGTTCAAGATTATGGAAAATGCGGAACGATAATCAATAATCGAAGATAGCCATTTGATTAATCATGGTTTTGGCAGTTTAATGGCGTTTACGGCATGTCTGTATGTCTATTCTGTGATTTTATATGATTTTTTGAGCATATGCCGTTTTTGGTCGAAAACTCAGAAATCATGACGTCACTAAAACCTCGATATCTCAAAAATTTTCCGACCGATTTTTTTGAAACTTTGTCACAATAAACTTCAATCAATTCCCTACAGGTACCCAAAATTTGGCGCGCCTGCGGCGCGCCGTTTTTATGCTATGGCCCGGCGAAAAAAGTGGGGGCGTTTAACGCCCCCCCCCAGCAACTCGCGGGTTAAGTGACTACAATTATCGCATGTTTGTTACGAGTCGTCATTCGGAA